CCCTGCCCTCTGGCAGTGGGAAGCCATTCCCCCTTGTCCTGGCACTCCAGACCCTGTAAATAGTCTCCCTCCATCTTCCTTCTCATCTGTCTTCAGGCCCTGGTCGCCTTCCTCATCTGCTTTCCCATCTCTGTGCTCCATAATTATCATTATGGATAATTAAGGTTATAGTTATATAGTTAACCCTCACTTCCCCTCAGCCCTGCAGCTCCCTCATATTTTAACCTCCCACTTGTTGAGCTCCAATGAAGCTGCTGTTTGGATATTGACATGTCCTGAGTGTCAAAAATTTGGGATAATTAAGGAGAAGAGCACAACAGGATCATGCTTTGTCTGTTTGAAGGAGCAGCATTTTTGGATAATCCCTGAGAGTGAAACACATGATAAAAGCAGGGAAGAAAATCCACATGATTCCCAAGGAATTCAGTACAGAAGACCAGTAATAACCTACTTGGGTTTGCAGCATTTTTCAGCAAATAAACATATTTTTGCATTTTATTTTCTTAGCACTGCAGCCTCGAAGGGATGGTTAAGGCAGCAAGAACGGGGAAAATAAGTCTTTTGAAAGCTGCTGCTGTTTGGAGTTTTACTGGGGGTTCTGTGGACATTTTTTAGAGCACCAGCAGCAAAATAACATGTTGAGATTATTTTCATTTTTATTTCAATACCCCCTGGCTGGGGTGGGTTAGACAGGGAGCACTGGCATCAAGCCCTCTGGTTAATGTGGTGTAAAACTGGCTCCAGGGAGTCAAACTCCTCGATTTCAAGGCCACCTTTGTGTCTCTGCTCCCCTCAGGTGACCTTTGGGTTACGTAGCATTCCAAACACACCATTTCCCGCCTTTTCCCAAGTATTCTCGGGATAAACACAGCAGCCAGAGGCACCCAGCTGGTGGAAAAATGAGGTTTTGTGGAGTTTGACTCTTGGGTTGGTCTCCAGCCTGGAGACCATCACTCCTTAAGAGAACTTTATTCCATGGGGTGTTTTTTCCACTCAAGGCTGAGGTGGCACTGTGGCATTCTGGGTGGGATGAGGGATTCCATAAAGCAGGATATTGGCCTTTTTTAGGGCATGATCTGGACCATGAGGTGCTCTGCACCCCTGCTGCTGCTTCTGTGGGATACCTTGAGCAGGTCCTGGAGACTCGTCCGTGTCTTACCCCATCAAACCTGCCGAGGAAGAACTTTTTCTCTCTTACCACTGGGAGTTTTTCATGTTTTTAAGTAAAACTGGCAACACATGTTTTTATAGAAGCTGCTCTTAGTGGACAAACAGGGACCTCCATGATGGGCCACACAGGAGGAACTTAAAAGGGAGGAAGAGCTTCCCTCGTGTTCATTGAGGTTGGAAATGCTGTTTTGGGAAGGATTCCAGCTTCTCTCTATGGTCAGGTTGATTTTAACCTGTTTAGACATGGGATTAAAATCTGCCTCTGGCACAGAAACTGGCCTGGTTTAGGGTTTGGTTTGGGTTTGGTAAAGGGCTTGATTTATATCTAAGGGGAAATGATGATTTGCAGTGATGGTAACAATTAATATGGAGCTTGGACTGGTGGATTCCCAGATTTCTGTGTGTCCCATGGATGTTGTAGATGGATTCCCTGCTAGTTTTCATGCTGGTTTTACAGGTCCAGCCCAGAAGTTATTTTACATCCTGTTCTTCCATTCTATCCATAAACCACATATTGACCCCCTAATCCAACAAAAACACTGTTTAAACCCATTCTCTCCAGCCTTCCTAATGTTGCATGACCATTTATAGGTCAGATAATGAAACCCAATCCATAAATATTAATGAAAGAGCTAAAGCCCTAAGAAAACCTTCAGTGTTTAATTTCAGACGTGTCCCACCCAAAAAAAGCAGAAAAACCAAACCACTTTTTTTATCACTTATTTTTATTTAATTGCTTATTTTCTTGAGAAGAAAGCTCTTCTTGGAGCACTTAAACCTCTGATTTATCCTCTGCATTTGGGTTGCAAGCTTGGCTTGCTTTCTGCGTCCCCACAGCCCCCATTGCAGAAGAGGCAACCCCTTACTGGTGTAGACTGGGGAAGTGTTTTATTCCCTAGGAAAATGGGGTGGCAGGGATTGTTCTTGGGTGATAAAGCAGCTCTGAGCCTGGAGAGAAGCACCTGAAGGGCCTGAACATTTACAAAAGTTACTTTATGAAACAACAACCCGGTTAGCATGACAAATACTCTAAATTTTGTGGCATTTATAATTCATTGATGCTGAGCCTTTATTTGCCAAAGCTTATAAAATATACATTTGTGGCTCGCTGAGCGTTCCCAGCAGTTATTCCTTGGCTTTATCGTGGCTGTTCCCTTGAACTCTGCCTTGCCCAGACTTTGCTGCCAAACTGGGACCTGTATTTCTGCAGCCTCCGTTGGGTTTTCTCCATTTGAGTTCCATTTTTACCCTGGATTTCTGCTGTTTTCCACTGGGAAAGAAGGAAATGGAAGATTAGTTAATACAGTTTGCTCAGCTCTTCCAGCCAGGAATTAATTTCTGTGTTTTGCTTTAATTTTGTCGTGGCCTGAAGGAGCTGTTTCTGAAGAAGTGTGCCCAGAAAACCACGGGATGCTTTGGCTTGAGTGAAATCTGAGCAAATAAACCAGCTTTTCCTCCCTGGCCTTTGGGGGGAAATGCAGTGTTCCCTCCAGAGTCCTTTCCTCCAGGGGGAAACTCAGTGCTGTGGTCCCTGGAGGTGTCCCAGGAAGGCCTGGCCGTGGCACTCAGTGCTCTGGGCTGGGGGACAAGGTGGGCATCGGGCACAGGCTGGATTTGATGACCTTGCAAGTCTTTTCCAGCCTCAGTTATTCTGTAAAAAGTCTAAACCCAAAAAGATTCAAGTTCTAAGCCCAACTCTGGCGTGTTAAAGTAGCTACCTAACTTTTTTAATTCCTTTGTGACTACAAAGGTGGGAGGGGAATCTTTATGACTTATTTTAAAGGCTTTCTGGGAATTCTTTGACCAGTGTATTTTGAAAAGAGCCAGGGAGGGGTCGGGCTCTGCTGCCAGGGAACAAGGGACAGGAGGAGAGGGAACGGCCTCCAGCTGTGCCAGGGGAGGCTCAGGTTGGCCAGGAGGAGGAATTTCTCCCTGGAAAGGGTGGTCAGGCCTTTGGGAGGACTCATGAGAATATACATAATAATGTTTGCAGTCATTAGATCTTTGGGCGCCTACAAAATTCCACTTGAGAGGATCTGATCCCAACACCTCCTAAAATCAGGCCCTTTCAGGGAGTCTCATCCTGGATGCTCAGAAATGTCCATCCTCAAATCTGCTCTCCAGAAACACCCCATGTAACAAGGAAAACTCTCTGAGTTCCTGTCCAGGGGCTCCTCCAGGATTTTTTTTCCTCTTTTCATTCTGGCACACGAAAAGAGGAAAAAAAAGAGCAATTTTTAGATCCAGTGGAGTCTGTTCAGGGTCAGGGCAACCCACAAATTAGACTTCCTGACCCACAATCTGCTGTCTCCTTATTTGAAGTGCCATGATAATATTCAGGGTTTGTGGTTCTGGTAGAGAACTTTTTTATTATTATTATTATTATTCTTTTTTGTTGTTTTTGTTTTTTTGTTATTTGGTTTTGGTTTTTTGGTTTTTGTTTTTGTTTGTTGCTGTTGTTGTTTTTTGGTTTTTTGGGGGGGGGTTGGTTTTTTGTTTGTTTGTTTTGGGGGGTTTTTGGTTGGTTTTTTTTAGTTGTTTTTTTTTTAATTTATTGATCTTCTGGAGAATCTGAGGATTATTAATTACTAAGCTGCTGCTTTTGTTTACCCATATTTTTTTGTTTAGGTTGCTGCCTAACTAGATGTATTTTAATGAACTCACCTAATTCATTCTGTATTATGGTTCACTCAGATATTTTTTAGATTTTTAAATATATTTTTTATTTTTAATATATTTTTAATTTTTAATATATTTTTCTATTTCTAATAAATTTTTCTATTTTTAATATTTTATTTTTTTATATATTTTACATTTAACTTTTTTCCTTTTCATTAATATCCCCGTGTGCCCAATGCTCCCAAACCAGGGTTGTTTTCTCCCATTGCTTTTCCATGAGCCTCTGCCTGTTTATTTTCCTGTGGGATCCTCCTGTCAGTCTGGAAGTGGCACCAAAAAGGTTGGGTGTAAAGATACATAAATAAACACAGTAAATAAACACAATACCCTTGAAAGAAAACATCTCAAGCTTATCCAAATTCAAGGATTTGAATGAATTCCTCTCAAATCATCCCTGTTTTTACATTCTTTGGGATTAGAAGACCTGATGGTCTTTGCTGCTGCTTCAAACAGCACCTGAGCCAGAGGGTTTGGGGGGGCCTGGATATGAATGTTGAGTCTTTATTTAAAAAATACTGGGAAAAAAATAGCAGGAAATGTTGGCTTTGGGGTTTTTTGGTGATGTAGAAATGCAAATTACCTCTGCTGGGATGGGGTGGAGGTGTCCTATCGAGACGGAAGTGTTGATAAGCTGTGACATGGATTTAGCAAGGAATATTCCACGCAATAAGGCAATAAAAAAGGCAGATTAAACTACTGTAATAACAGGAGAAGAGAAAGAAATTGTTTGTTGAATAAAGCCCTTGCTAGCAAAGCTGGGAAACCAGCAAAACCACAAGAAAAAAAAGAGAAGAAAAAGAATTATTGTTACAACAGACACATTATTGCAGTTTAGCTCATGTCCTGTATTCCCTTATGAAAATTCCTCTGTCCTGTCGACGTGCTAAAAATGGATTTAGGCTGTGAGGATAATTCATCTGGGCAAAAGCTGGCACTGGCACAGCCTGAGGAAAAATGGGCAAGCCAGAAACTGTTGCAATTTAATCCTTCCATCCCTTGACACAGGACAGTCTTTAAGTCCCAGCCAGTATCGGGCTGGGAGAAAATTGGTGTGGGGTGATTTTATCCCGCAGAACTGCCCAAGGATCCCCTGGAAAACAGGCTCTGCTCGGGTTTGCTCGTCTTCATCTGGTTTTTTTCTTCCTTTACAGACACACTATGAAAGTGGAGAGTACATCATCAGACAAGGAGCTCGAGGGGACACCTTCTTCATCATCAGCAAAGGAAAGGTGAGCTCACACCCTGCAGGGCTGCTGGGGCTGCCCTGCTCCCAAAACTCAGCCCCAGCCTCTCCCTCCCCTCCCCTGGGCACAAATGTGGCAACACTTGACATTTAATTAAACTTCTGGCACTGTACCAGCAGAGAAGAGCAGCCTGAAGGGGAGAAAAATCAATCTGCTGCTGGTTTGCTCCCAGGGAACACTTTGGGGTCGAAAACAGTAGTTGAGTCTCTCAGTAAATGAGCAAAAAACCTCCGTTTTTTATTGCCACTATACCCTGCAATACTCAGCTAAGAATCCCTCTTACAAGGCTGACTTCCAGACTTCATTCCCATGGCTACCCCTTCTCAGCTTCCCCAAATTAAATAATGGGAAGCCAGGGACGTCTGAGCTCTCTCCTGGGGGAAGGAAGAAGGTCTAAGTTTCTGTTCCGCTGCTCACAGGGAAAATGGGATTTTTGGCCTCTTTTCCCCTAAAATCCTGATGGGATTTTGTACAAGGGTTTTTTTTCTTACCTTCAACAAATTCTACTATTTTTTTAGTTGGCCTAATACTGTTCCACTTGAGAAACACTGGGCTTCTTTCCACGGAGCAGGATGGAGATGTTCTCGGGAATACACAGTGATTTCCCACTGCAGATGAGATGATACATGGCAAGGAAACACAAATGGATAAATGTGCTTGGAATTAGGCCAGGCCCAGCCTCCTGCTCCCTGGAGCTGATGTTGGCACCAACCACGTGTCCTTGAGGGGAGGGCAAACCCCATGGCATCCGTGGAGGAAGAGTGGGGGTGTGGAGCTGTCTCCCAAGTTTTTTCCCATCATCTTCCACTCTCTGTTTCTGGGAGCCAGTTCTTCATCAGAAGGAGAAAAAAAAAAGGTCTTTTCAGATGAATAACAATGTCATGGATAAGTTTCTGAAAGGAAGATAATCATGGCCTGAAATCCAAACTGAAGGTCTGATGCCCTTTCGCTTCCCTCCACTGAGAAATAATATTTCCTCTTCTCCCAGAATATCCTTTTTTTTGCCCTTTTTTAATGGTGCATCTCCTTCCCATGTGGAGGGTTTGAAGCCATGTTGGTCAGTCTGTTGGAAACCAGGCTTTTGCCTCACTTGGTCAGGTGGATCCCATCCCTTCCTGGCAGTCATGGAATCCCAGCATGGTTGGGGTTGGAAGGGACCTTAAAGCCCACCCTGTTCCACCCCTGCCATGGGCAGGGACACCTCCCACCAGCCCAGGTTGCTCCAAGCCCCGTCCAACCTGGCCTTGGACACTTCCAGGGATCCAGGGGCAGCCACAGCTTCTCTGGGCAACCTGTGCCAGGGCCTCCCCACCCTCCCAGGGAACAATTCCTTCCCAATATCCCATCTCTCCCTGCCCTCTGGCAGTGGGAAGCCATTCCCCCTTGTCCTGTCCCCCCATCCCTTGTCCCAAGTCCCTCTCCAGCTCCCTTGTACCTTTAGGTACTGGAATTCTGCCCTAAGGTCTCCCCAGACCCTTCTCTTCTCCAGGCTGAAGTGAGCAAGGAGATTTTTTGCATTTTTGAGCCCAGCACTCCTCAGAAACACTCAGAATGATTTCTGCTCTGTTATCTCACAGCCCAATCCTCCCTTGATGGTTCTTTCAGGAGCCAGATCTCTCCTCTTTTTCTCTGTCAGCTCCATTCACCCCACTTGACCCCATTCCTGAACTACTTTAGTTCATTTATTTGAGTGGGTTTCCTGGAGTCCAAGTGAGTGGAAATCAGAAGTGGGTTCAGAACACTTTGAGTGCAGGAATCTGTTGAATGGAAATGGCTCAATCCCTTCTGCTTGTGCAGTGCCTTGCCTTGATGCAGAGGCAGAGTGTGCCATGCTGTGCCATTTCCCACCATTTTCCCATTAAAAGCCACGGTGTGGCACCAGTTTAGTGCTGGGTCAGGCGGGTCCTTCACTGGAGCAGTGGCTGTTCAAAGGGCTCAGAGCTGTGAGCCACACAGAAATCCCTCCACACTCACTGCTTGGGATCCGTGCAAGTCATGGAGAAAGAGCTGAAATCTGCATTAAAGTTCCCTTTGTGTGTCCAGGGATGTTCCTGGCTCAGCCATCCCACATTCCCATGCTCTTGGATGGGGCATTAATGACTCAAACCCACTGCTTTGGTTTGGCCACCCTTTAAGGAGGCGGGAGAAGGTGCAGGGCACAATTGGGAATTTCATGGTGGAATTACACTGGAATGTCTCCAAATCCAAAAGGACGTGTCTGACATCCCACATTTTGCCTTTGGGAACTTCCATGTGCAAAAGCTCTGATTAAAAGGTCTGCAAAGGAGGAGCAGATGAGAGATCTTCCCCTATAGGTGAGGTACCTGCAGAGAGGGGCTCATCCCAATGAAATCTGGGACAAGATGGGCTTTGGGAATGCCTGCCCCTGTCCACTGACCACAGACAGAGGCTGCACAACTCGATTTAGAGCTGGGAGAGGTGACTCCCACCATGCCCTGGCCGTGGGTTTACAGCAGGGAGACAGTTTGCTTTCCATCAGCAATACCTGCTCTTCTCTTTCACTGCTAAATAAAAAAGAATTAAAAATAAGATGGTCAATTCCTTTAAACTTCAATGAAAAGCCTTGATTTTTGCTCCAACCGGAGTCATCCCTTCCCTGAATTTGGGAGCCCAAAGAAGTGGGGGCACCTTTCATCCTGCAGCCCCCAAACTGTTTCACTTTGGTTCTGATTTTTATGCCACCTTTCCCTGAGGTGAGAGCTCAGGAGCTCGAGGAATGCTGGGGAGCAAATCCAACGGGAACCTGAGCTGTGTGCCTGACTGAGCCACCCCAACATTTTGGAGCCTCTTTCTGCTGCTGCCTGTGCTTGTGCAGCCAGCTCTTGTGTTCTGAGTGAAAAACATTCAAACCCCCAAAGTGGTGGGTTTTTCCAAGAGCAGGAGGTACCTTGGTGGGAAATAACTGTTCATTCCCCCAGATGGTTGGTTGGTGATGCCAAGGGTAGAGTGCAGGACCCCGGGGAACAATTCCCAGAGGAGACCCAGCCCAGAGATCTGGGAGCTGGCGAATTCCTCTCTGAACGACCCTTTGTCAACCCCAGTTTTCCTAAATCCTTTTGGCTTTTCCGCAGGTGAACGTCACTCGGGAAGACTCCCCCAGTGAAGATCCCGTCTTCCTCCGCACCCTGGGGAAGGGAGATTGGTTTGGAGAGAAAGCCCTTCAAGGGTAAGTGCTCCTGCTGATGCAGTTATTCCGTTGGCATCATCCCTCGAGGATTTCTGCAGCCCTCAGAGTGCTCTACCCGCTGGGGAGGAGATTGGGAGTGGGTTTATTCTTTTGTGATGGGAAGAAGGTCCTCGGGGGGGGGGGACACATCAAATCCAGAGATCTTGCCTTGCTGCTGGACACCAAAAAGTCACTTCTCTTTGCACTGTCTTCCCCCACTGTGCATGGGAAGGTCCAGATGTTTGGATTTTTGCATCTCTGGAGCGTTATTCCCGCATGGAAGAGCACAGTCAGGGTTGTCCTGGCGGGGCTGAAGGCAGGGTGGGGGTGGTGGGATTGAAGTTCTCTGGCTGTATTTTCATGGCTTTGGTGGATGTGGGGGTTGGATGGGAGTGTCCTGTTTTATAGAAACCTTTTCCTCTGGGGATAATCCAAAAGAAGAGAAGCTGGAAATCCACACTGGACAGGTGATGGTTACAAAAATAGCCTTGATTTCCATGGGAAGGAGTAGGAAGAGCAAAGCAGGAATTTGGGACGCTTTGCCCTTCCTGGGAACTCTGTGAAAGAGCTGTTGGGCTTTTTTTGGGGGGTGCTGTGGTAACTGTTGTGTGGTAATTGTTGTGTCCAGTCCCTCCTGTATCAGCCTTCTCCCAAAAAGAAGGTGGTGGAAATATTTGAAGCCCAAATTTCAAGTCACTTCCTGGCAGCCAGAGATGCCTCCAGCACAAAACTCACCTCACCCCTGTGATTCTAGACCTTAATTACAAAGTAATGTAGTTTTTAAACAAATATCCTTATTTTTATTCCGTCCCTGCATAACTCCAGTGGCACACAGCATCCCTAAAATGGGAATTTCTCAGCCTTTTAAATCCAGTGTTTTAACTGACTGGCTCAGATTGAGATTGGTTCATTTACAACACTTGTCTGCATATATTTGGATATTCAATATATTGAATACCTTTGATCTTCTGAGGCTAAATGGGAACTTCATAATTGAGAACATGTTCTCAGCATGCAAGGAAAGCATAATCCTACCATGACCTGGAAGTGTCCAAGGCCAGGTTGGACCTGGGACAGTGGGAGGTGTCCCTGCCCGTGGCAGGGGGTGGAACTGGATGAGCTTTGAGGTCCCTCCCAACCCAAATCATTCCATGTTTCTAAGGTTTACTGGTAAAATTTTAAAGAGCTAATCCAAGATGAAAAAGTCAAAGAAAATATACTAAAAATTGAATTTTATCTGACTCTCTCAGGTCTAACTGTGTTTGACAGCAGTAGAATCATCCTAAAGGTTTCCCAGGGTGCTGAACTGGGATGTGTCCCACAGTCCTGACAGGCACTCCTTTATCAGGGATTTATGGAGCTGCTGGATGCTTTGCATTACAATACTACACATTATTCAATTTAAACCTGGCTACAGAACTGCTGGGCTTGTTAACAGACTGCAGGGATGGTTCTGGAGGAATTCCACCTCCCTTGGAAAAAAAATCATGGGATCCCAGAGTGGTTTGGGTTGGAAGGGACCTCAAAGCCCATCTCATGGGCAGGGACACCTCCCACTAGCCTTTATTCCACGGGTGTAGAACATAATCACAACTAAAAAGACATTTCTGCCTGACAGTAGAAAATAACACTGCAATTCTGTGTGGAGCTGCCCAGCAGGAGCTCGGAGAACGGGGCTCTCCCAGTCCCTCCCAGCAACATCCCTGGCACACCAGGGACGACGGGCAATAGCCCAGTTTGCAGCTCACACCAGCTGGCACCCGGAATTGCCCAGGATCCCATTGCACAGGGACAACAGGAGTGGGGAGACGATGATCCACAGCATCCCCCAGGGATCTGTGGCCTTCCCGGGGAGCTGCAGGCAGCAGCTGTGCAGTTTGCAGTCTAACAGGGCAGGATTCGTGGCGTGCTCAGCAATCACTCACTGGGGGGGTGTTTACTGGAACAAGAGAACATTTTATAATATTTAGAAGGCTGTTTACCATCATTATTTCCACCAACAGGGAAATAAAGTCCATTCAAACAAACAATTCAAATAGTCAAATCAATGCAGAAAAGCAAATTTTTCGGAATATGAGGGTTCTGAGCAACCTGGTCTAGTGGAAGGTGTCCCTCCCCATGGCAGGGGCTGGGAGCTAAATGGTCTTGAAGGTCCCTTCCAACCCAACCATTCCATGAATGGTTTTCATCTCCTTCAGGAATTGTTCCCCGTAGGCCAACTCAAAGGTTTGGAGCCATTGCAACCTGGGGCAGTGGGAGATGTCCCTGCCCATGGCAGGGGGTTGGAATGAGATGAGCTTGAAGCTTCCAACCCAACCCATTCCACGATTCTGTGAGTGCCTCCTTGGTGCTACGTTATATATTCCATCAGGCACTGGTGTTTTGGGTGCTGTTCCCGTGGTTTTGGGGTCCTGGAGGATCTCCAGCCCCGCAGTGGTGGCACGTGGCGAGGGGCTGATGTTCTGGAGAGGGGCTTTGGTAGAAACCCGGCACTGGGTTCCTGATGCTTCCGCCAAACTGGCCAGTCTGGGGTCCAGTTGGGGTTTGTGGTGAGGGCACTGTCACCCAGTTTGAACCAGCTGAGGTGCTGAGGGCACCTTTGGGACTGGCAGGAATTGTATCAGGGCGTGGTTTATGGAAACGGGTGGGAATTTGGGAAGGGTCAGCTCAGGCAGGGGTGGCACCACCAGAGGAAGCTCCTGGCAAAGGGTGTCCTCCCTCACCCTTCCCGTTTGTAAAGCTAAAATACACACTTTTTATTATTATTTGTTAGAAAATGTGTTTGTGGTGAAGAATGAACTGTGGCCTGTGGGTTGTGCAGGAGGTGCTCTGCTCTGGGGACCATTACAGTGATATTTGAGTTATTGGAGCAAATTTATATATAAATACAAATAATTTTATATATGCACGCTATATATTATATTTAATTATATATATATTTTGTATTATTATATTGTATATCATTTACATATGAATTATTGGTTACATCCACACTGACCTGAAAATGAGGGTCACAGTTCCTGTCCCTCCTGGGGCATCCCTTCTGCTCTAAAGAAAATCTGTGCTGTTTCCCACTTACATCTCCACCTCTGGAGGCTCCCAGGGAATTATTTTCCCAAAGTTCCAGGAATCATCTCTCCTCTGACTGCCCCAAATCCCTGGGGGGGGGGGGGGTGTGTGTTTTGTGCCCTGAGAATTTGGAGCAATAAAACAACATCCCTCAGTCTGGGCGGGAATGTGGAAAGGTAACTTCCCTGCTGACAATCCCGGAGCTTTACACTGTGTTTTCCCAGAGGACAACTTAAAAACTCGGTGTTTCCTTCAAAACTTCATCACCAAAAACCTGGGAGGCTGTTGAAACCTTTTTCTCCCCTCCCTTTTTTCCCCTTTTCCCCCTTTTTCTCTCCCCTTTTTTCCTTTTCCCCCTATTTTCCATTTTTCCCCCCTTTCCCCCCTTTTTTCCCCTTTTTAGCCCCTTGTTGCCCTGTTTCTTTTCTTGCCCTTTCCAGTTTTATTTCATGTGTTTCCTTTCTTTTTTTTCCCAGAAATTCTTCTCCCCTCTGGCTCTTTGATAACTTTTAAAGGAATTCATGGATTCATTTACTCGGGTCCGAAGGTGAAGGAGTCAAACTGATTCCTGGCAGTGAGAAAAAAAGGACCTTGGAAAATGATAAAATTTTATCTTATTTTATTTTATTTCCTTCCCCTTTCCCCCCTTTCCCTCCCTTTTTCTCCCCCTTTTTCTCCCTCTTTTTCTCCTCTTTTCCCCCCTTTTCCCCTTTTTCACCTCTTTTCTCCCCCTTTTTCCCCCTCTTCTCGCCCCTTTTCCCCTCTTCTCCCCCTCTTCCCCCCCTTTCCCCTTTTCCCCCCTTCCTCTTTCCCCTTTTTCCCCCCTTTTTTCCCCTTTTCCCCCCTTTTTCCCTTTTTTTCTGTCCCTTTCCCCCCCTTTTTCCCTCTTTTCCCCTTTTTTCCCCTCTTTTCCCTCCTTTTTCTCTCTCCTTTTCCAATGTCCTTGGACTGAACTTCCCAGCGAGTGTGAGGGTTATATTTCATCTTATCAAACCCTTTCTTTGCTGTATCATACTCCCACTAAAACCTTCCCATCTGCTGGCTTATTGTCTGGAATTTTCCAGGGAAAAGAGAGTGGAATGGAGGACTGGAAATATTTATTGCTCTGTGACATAGGGGCAGTCACACAAGTGGATGTGTTTCATCTCAGGGTGGCATTTCCATATATACATAAATATATATATTTTTTTTTCAGATATATATCTATATATAACATAGACAGATGAAAGATTTATATATCCCATAGGATGATATTTAAGTTAATAAGGAATTTTGGCTTCTCCAGGGAGAAGTGCAGCTCCCTTTGTTGCAACCCCTGTGCCTGGGGAAGGGATGTCCAATCAAAGAGTGTTGAGGAAGGGTCTGGGGAGCAGCCAAATTGTGGTGTGAGAAAGCAGATGGGATCCATGATGGGAAAGGGCTGGAAAACTGGGCCGTGTGGGCCTGGCTGGGAGAATGAAGGTTCCTTCCTGGAGTGATTTCTCTTGGCATGAAGCTGTTCCAGGCTCGTCTGTCACGATGCAGGGGGGGTTCACTCTTCCCATTTCAGCCCAGTTTGGAAGAGGAAAGGAAGAAAAGGCACTTAAAGCCAGCCCCGGGGTGGGAATGCACTCCGGGATGATGGAGTTTTCCCTGCAGGAGCCCCGTGGAGATGAAGATGTCCCCGGAGTGCAGCGGTGGCCACCGTAAAACTGAGGCAGTTCTTCAAGCACTAATCTGCAGGAGAACAAGCAGAACCACTAAAAAAGACCCTTTTAACTTTGGGAAGCATTTGTTTATCTCCCCTGGTGCTAAATAATGGGATTTTCCATAAGTCCAGGGTGCTCTGTAGCCCTTCTGCCCAACACCTGCAGAGTTGTTGTGTGTGGAGCAGAGTGTTCGTGTCCATCCGTCCATGGACACGTGGTCTCCAAGGACCCGCTGGAATGTTT